ACAGAAATCAAAAAAGAAAATTAGAGTCCTAAAACAAATATCAATTGGTAAAACAATGGAAAACCTACCTCGTTCACTGTTGAATGGTGAAAATGAGGGTTGCCTTGATCGGTAAAAAGGATTTCTTCAAAGTAGCTAAATGATCAAAGTATTAACTTTTTTTTTTTACAAATTGGTTGGTAAAATTGAGAAGAAAATGTTCCCCTTAAGAATTTTTGTTTCTAGAATTAATAATGGTAAGTACAAATTGGTTGGTAAAAGTTGGGGGTGTAAACAGCTCGATTTTAGTGGTCGAACCAAAGCTGAACCGAAAAAATAACACAGGACATTACAAAACTAAGTCGACTGATTATGCATGCTAAACTTGCGCCTAACCGACTGATGAACCGAGGGGTTCTTCAATTCGGCAAGACGGTTGAATCGTGCGCTTGCGCATGGTTGGGTGCACGAGTTCAGGTTGAGTTCGGGCTGGGTGCTGGAGCGCGCGCAATGCATGTGCCAATTTTCATGTGGACCTCCACCCTTGCAGCCTCGTCTGGGCCTCAAGGTTTATTTTCTTTAATTTTTCTATAATTATACTATTTGTTTTTTAATGGAAAATACAACATTTAACATTAATATTCAATTAAATCTAATCGGAATCCATTATAATCGTGAATAAATATAATCACTTCACTTGTTTGATTTTCTTAAAACTTAGGAGACACTAATATAATAATAATACATTCAAATTTTAATATCATCCATAGTTAATTTTTCATTCAACACTCAACAATATATTGCTAAAACAAATACAAAATCATAAATCAAAACTACTATTAATTATCAAGTATCAATAAGAATAACAAATTGAAATAGGTCTGAAATTCAAAATCAACAATAAAATCAATAAGTCACAATTACAACCCAATAAAGAATAAACGATAAGGTTTCAACGAAATATATAGCTAATAGTAAACTTCATGTAGAATCATTCATCATTCTTCCTCTTGTCCACATAGCATGCTGCTTTCTCTGTGCATCTTTTGAAACCTAAACAAATAAAAAAGAGGTTATAACTAATTTATAAATATTAGAAATAGAAATTGAAAAACCATAAATATATGTGATTTTGCGATGAAGTTTCGAATCTTATTTAACAAAAAAACCTTCCTCCAAATATGATAGAAGATCAACACTAATAGCGTTCGAATGTAGCAACTTTTGTGCACAAATAAGTGTCTCAACTGTAACTGGAGCCAATGTAGAGCGAAAAAGGATAAAGTATTCTCCCACTAGTGTGAAATGCAGACTCAAAAGCAACAGTAATACTGGAATTGATAAACATCTCGTGCAACCTTATTAATAACACTTATTCAGAAGAGTTTACTTTCCACTAACCTAAGATATTAAAATTATCATCATCTTATGTATTATGCTTTGAAACATAACTTTCCACTTCTGAATCCACATCATTTTTATGATTTATCATATTAGTGACTTGAAAGCTAAAGAGATTTACAACACTAGTACCTATAGAAGCTGCAGTAGATTGACTCATTCAACTCAGTGAACTAGAAACATTCTCGGGCATAAGCAAATTATACTCATTAAATAATTGTCTCAAAATAGCTTCCACTTTTTTTCCCATTTCATTTGCAACATTAGCCTCAAATAGCTGATTGAAACAATACATATGAAAGTCCATCTTATGACGAGGGTCGAGAACAAATGCAACATATAATAAGTAATTCGTCTTTTCACTATTCTCCCAATACTTAATTATATTTCAATTGCATTTTTTTCGCTATGGCAATAAGAGTGAGATTACCACAATCACAAGAATAGTTTCTTATACGATTTTGGATAGTATAAATCTCATGAAAGACCATATTGGATGTACTATAAAGAGAACCAGAAATTATTCTAAGGGCCACCTCCTAAAATATTTATAAAAATTTAGTAAATGTACGAGCAATCTCCCAATCAGTACTTTTCGGATTTTAATCATCTTTCATGTTAAAGTATGTTATGACATCATCTTCTAATCATTTAAGCCTTCCCAAGATTTTTCTGTAGACTTAAGCATTAAATGTGTAAAGTTTCATCTAGTTGGAACGTCAAGACATAAAAGACTATTGTTAGATATATTCTCTTGTCTACTTTTTAAATTTACCAAATCTAGTAGGACTAATCTAACAAATTTTAGAGCATATATCAAATTTGAGTCACTGAGTCATGCACATCTTTCAAACCACCACTCACAATTAAATTCAAAATATATGCACAATACCTACATGCAAAAAGTCACCGTTCAACACCAATCCCTGTTTGAAATGCTTAATTATATAAGCAATAGCAGTATAATATGTTGAAGCATTATCCACAGGCAACGTCAACACCTTTTTGTCCCCATTGTTTCAAACATTTTTCAACTTATCTTCCTATGGTCACCCATTTATGACTATCAATTTGAGAAAAGTTAACGATCCTCTTATGCAACTTCCCATTAATCAATAAAATGTGTAGTCAAAACTATATAATTGTTATTTTGGCAGGATGTCCAAGTATCGGCGGTTAGTGAGATTCTATACCCTTGATTTACTAAAAGTTCATTCATATCTTGTTTTTACTACCATATATTGCTAAAATATCCATAGCAATTATAGTTTGAGAAGGGAGATCAAACTTCAGTTCCAATAAAGTGATGGTCCCCTCCACAAATCTTCTAAAACCTTCACTTTTCACAAATTTAAAAGACAATTCATCAATTATAATCATCTCAGCAAGGAGCCTTCTAGCATTATTTACACTAAAAGCTGCGCATTTGAGTGAGGTATTTATTGTATTTACTTCTACATTCTCATTATTTTTAAATACTAACTTTTGTTGAGATGCACCTTTGGCATTTACGTAAGGA